CAGAGGCTAGACGGATTAAAATTAGAACTACAAAAAAAACAATCTTACATATCTGCTTGTAAGGAGTTATGTGATTGGTTGAAAGATGCAAAGGCGTATGAGAGACCTGTACTCGATGGTATATATTCATGCCTGGAAGTAAGTTTCAATTTGGTTAAACTAATAATGTTTGACGATCGAGTACGTCTGTCAATTAAATACGAATATTATTTATAGATAATATCAAAAAGAGCTTTAGCATTCGGGCTGCAGGTTGGATTTCAAGTAACGTCAGTAGCAGCAGAACATATCGAACGATTACGTTCTATAATGGGATCCAAGGTGGATGATGTTCTACGTTGGCGAAATGAGCTCGCTTCCAAGCTATCTCCAGCATCTGTCGCGCGTCTTTCTCCGTTGGGGGGACCTATGACGCCAACTTTCCCAAAGACTCTACAAGGACAAAATATGTCACAATTGTTGCAAATGTCACAAACGCCACAACCAACCAAGTCACAAGCATCGCTACCCATGCTAGCTCAAACTTCTGGAGGATACTCTAACGTAGCGGGGCCCATAATACCAACCCGATCTGGCGTTCCAATAACAAACGTGCAATCAACGACATCCTCAGCACCTAGTGCGCAATCATCTATAGTTCAAACTCAAGGAAATTATGTAAATAGTGTACATAGGGGAAGTATGAACTATACTGCATCTGTGCAACAATCAACAGTGCCTTCATCACCGTCTGTGAAGCACGATGATTGCTTTAGAGAGCCAGGCCAAGACAGCAATAAGCACGCGGCCTTATTTTGCAGACCTTTTGAGTATGCAGTCAAGCCTCAGGTCTTACAGCATAAGGCAGCGGTAACGCCGTTCACTTTTACAATAATGCCGAACCTTTTTAAAAGGCTTTACAGGTAAAATCTTAAATCCATCACCCGATTCCAATAGTCTGTTCTAATGGTCTGGTTGTTATTAATTCGAATAGACGTGTAAACTAATACTTGATTTAAATTTTATTTTTAGTCCCGACAAACAATATCACATAACCGTCAACACCCCATTGTCTCACCTACCATTAACATACGTTCTAAAATCATGCAAGGCGGCAAGTGCTATCGATGATAAGTGTGAGTGGCCTGACGGTTTGCGCGTATTTCTGAATCGTATGGAAGTCAAGCTGGAAAAGAAGACAAAAACGCCCGTTCCCAACAGGCAAGGACAGTTCACTTATACGGGAAGAGATCGGCCAGCAGATTTGAGGCCATACTTGAGAGAAGGGGAGAACCTTATGTGCTTGGAACAGACCACATGCTGTTGCGTGAGTTTTTGACGCTAGATTTTTTGCGAGTTTTTTGGTTACTGCACTGGACAAAGAACTGAGGCATTGTTACATTCTTATGTAGTCTTATCGGTTCTCAGTAGAGATACTGTTGAGAGAATCGGAAGATCTCATTCTACATTACGTGCGAAGAAAGCATTTGTCGGAACAAGATGGAATTACGAATGGTAAAGCCAATTAAACAAAATATATCAAACTTTGTTTTGGCCGATAATGTCTACTAACACACATATCATTCACATCACTCTAACTAGTCGATCGTCTATTGTCCGGTGGTAAGTTACCAAGATTTTTTATTCGTACAAATAGCGACATTTTTGTAACGTCCCTTGTTCTCTCACATCACAAATAATCCAGTTGTCGTAGGTTTGGATGACGATGATATCGAAGTTAGGCAAGAAGTCATAAAAGTCAGCATGAAGTGTCCTTTAAGCCTGTTAAGAATAAAAGAACCAGTAAAAGGAGCTAAATGTCGACATGTGGCCGTAAGTACCCTTTTATAATTATTATGCTCTTGGAACGGGTATCGTTATGATGGAACTTACTTTGTTCTTTTTTAGTGTTTCGACCTGTCAAGCTATCTAGCGGTCAATCGAGCAAATCAGACTTGGAGATGTCCTGATTGCCAGTAAGTGGAATCACGCTTTGATTTAAGCAACGGAGAAATTATAAACTGATCGTTTCACTTTCTGGTACATAGTAACAAAGTCTATGCCAACGATTTAAGAGTCGACAAGTTTTTTATGAAATTGCTGAAGGAAGTGCCTGAGTAAGTATATAGAGAGCCTTTTCCCAGAGAATGATTTGATGAGCTCGTTAAACTAACAAGACATTTTCCGTGTGAACCAGCAAAGTAGAAACGGTTGAACTGGGTCTGAATGGTACATGGAAACCGGTAGCAGATGCGACGCAGGGCGGTGACGGCGAAGCCTCGTCAGATGAAGACGAAACGGCTACAGGCACACGATCAAGGAATTCACAGGCAGAAGTTGTCGTTCTCGCCGACAGTGATGATGAGGAAGCAGCGCCACCGCCATCGCGTCCTCAACTTGCACAAACTCGCTCGCCCTCTCAGTCAACTTCTGCTCAGCCATCTACGCCGCCGTCATCTGGGCAGTCTACTCAAACGCCCTCGCGGATACCCAGTTGGACAGATTCTCCGACTCGGACGCAACAGGCAACGGTTATGCCAATGGATGTGGATCCTCCGTTTGTATCAAGCGTGAATCGATGGTCTTCTTCCCAGTCGTCTTCGACAAAATCACCACGTCTTTATTACCCCACACAGGGGGGGACTAATTATCAACTGTAGAAAAAAGAGAATGATTTATTCAATAATGGTAAGGTTCTCTATCTATAAAAACGTGTAGCTGATCCTAAGTAAAATAGTGTGCATGAGAATAGACTATAAATAAATGGATGAATAATGATTCATTGTTGAATGGACGAATAACATTTTTATGATGTTCGCCGGTTATTAGGTCAGAGTTCATATTCTCCCAAAAAAACCTATATAGAAACCGTTAATAAGCAAACACCAGTGAAGGAAGTGGAAGAAGAGGAAGAGGAGGAGGAGGAGGAAGAGACAATAATGTCTTCAGCTTCTTTCCCCAATTTTATATGATCTAATTCGCTCGCGTCAGGGCAACCTCGTTCAAATTTACGACTTTATGTTGTCTTACACAAACATATTGGTTTTAGAGGTGGGTTGACATTATCTACGTTCTTAATATTATAATAAGCGTAAATATTTTCCCTAGTGTAACACATGGGAAAGTTCTTGTGTGCTTTTTCTTTTTATACTTTGTTTTTTTCTTGCAGTGAGGTGGGATATGTGTGAGGTGGGATATGTGTGGGGGGGGGGGGGGGGGCAAAAATGCTTCAAAATGGCCAATTATTTGTTC